CAGGGACCGACGACAAAAGCTTCCAAGGCTGGAGAGAAACATTTCAAAACGCAGATTCATGCGTAGCCACAGAGCGGGTTCATTTCTGGACGAGAAAAAACAGGCCTCTGAAAATGAGCCATTTGTGTCAGACCCACACAGGTTGCAGGAGGAGGAGGTTTGTTTATAGTTGATGGTTTTTTCCTGTTGTTTTTTTTTCCCCCCCTCAAGAAAAATCAATGATTCCCATTGATGCAGCCTCAAACTGCTGCAGTCAGTTATCGATAACCAATCTCCCAGAGCTCCCAGCTGTTCTGGTTTCTCTGCATTTGAAGAGAAGGTCAGAAGAGCTCAGAGTCATCCCAAAACATGGCAAAGAGCGCTAAGCGCTGAACACTGCTGAACGAAAACAAAACACAACACACAGCAAAATGCAAACAAATCAATACAATCAATACAGACCCAAACCAGAAGGGAGGAAGTAGCTCCCTCAGCTTTGCAGAGTGCTAACAAACCTGCCCGTGAAACCACAACAGTGTGATATTACAGCACAGTAGCATACTAGAAAGCAAAGGGTTTGTGTTTTAAAGAGTTCGAGACTCCTTTCCCATCTGCTGAAAAAATGTAGATGCTCCAGACTGCTCCCTGCTCCCCCAGGCAGGCAGGACCTGCCTCCTCCCTCCCAGGCATCTTCCTCCATCCGTTACCTGGGATTCCCCTCCTGTGTCTGCACAAGTGACTTAAGATGTGCCCTCAGCCTGGGCACTTCCCACCCCTCCTTTGGCGACCCAGACCCTCACCCTTCAGAAAATCCTGTCACTCCTCTGTCAACCTTTCCAAACACAAAGGAGGGAAAAAAATTTTCACTCACAGCTATCGGCGTCTCCTGGCTGCAATTTCCCTTGGAAAAATCTGGCCCCATGTCTTTTAGCACTGTATGGAATTTGCCTTCGTTTCCTGGGGAAAAAAAAAATGCATTTTTTTGTCTGGGGTTTCCTATCAGACAACCCTTCTATTGTAGTCCACCTTCCTGTATTTTTTCCCTCTCCAACACGGTTGCAGTGGCTTCTGTGCCATTTGCAGCGACCGCGGAGGACCATGCGCGGTTACACAGACCGAGGCTGCCTCGTGTTCAGTAACAGAAAGCGCAGCCGCCCTGGGACCCTGGTGACATCCTGGCATGGGGGCAGTGTTTGCTTCCAGCTTGCTGAAAGCCACGCATCAAAGCGCTGCTTTTTTTGGCCGGGGCAATTTGCTCCGCAGCTGTGGCTTTGAGGGATGCACTTTTTGCTGAACTGGAGGCAACCACCAAGGTCCCAAAAGAGGGTTAAAAATCACACATTAATTGCATGGACTCCACATGGAGTGAACTCAGGGAACTGGAGGGAGACTGTGTGCCCAAAGGAGTCACACTAATTATTTTTTCCTCTCCCCACCACTCAATGTCACCTTCCTTTCAGCTACCACTGCTGTAGCCCTGCGTACATCCCAGTGTGTACATGTGTCCTCTGTTCGGCTGCTTCCCATTTCAGCATGACAGGAAGGTTGCACAATGACCCTCTCAAGTCACAGACCTGTCATCCTCAGAAGAATTTGCCTGCACCAGCTCTCTGCTAACAAAAGAGGGGACTTGCCAGCAAAATACATCACACAGCGCCTGTTAAAAGCCCAAAGGCCAGAAGGGAGCCTTCCCACTCGGCGGAGTGGCAGCCACCTGAGCAGAGCACCTTCCTTGCTCAATTTCATTTCCCATTTTCATCTTCACTAAATGACTGATTGTTCATGCACCATGAAGAGGAAAATTAATTTTCTCCAAAACAACCCTTATTCAGAATAGTCATCCGGCAACCGCCATGAATTATCACCTCGCATGTGCTCATTTATTCCATTCTTATTTGCATCTGAACATTTGGTTGCCCTCTTAGGGGCTGCAGCATCTGCACAGGCAGGTCTGTCCACCACGGCTACCCCAACCAAGGGCAGGGCTACAGCATGAAATCAGCTTTGATTAGACAGCAGAAAACTCACAAGGAAGAGCAACAGGAGAAAAGGCACATCCAAGGGAAAAGCTTCAGTCGGAGTTTGCTGCTTCCCAGCCATGGGAAATCTCTTTGCATTTCTGAGGCAAGTAACCATAAAACCCCACACTGAAATGCCCGAAAGAGGAAAGCACCAACAAGAGGAACACAGAGGTGCCACGACTGGGTAGGATTTGGTGAAAATCCTTGCAGTTTACCACAGCACTGAGTATTTAACCACAGACTAGTGCTTCATGACAGGTTATCACTGGCCTAATCCTCTTGTTACAACCACCACTAAAAGTCTTCAACAACTTTTACTAAAAATGCAAACAAGGAGGAAAGGCACACAGAAGCATGTGCAACTCATTTACCTTATTTCCTCTCTCGCTTCTTCCTTTCATTTTAAAGCCTTGTGTTTGGGAGGAAAAAATCCCCTATACTTTCGCAAATCCAAATCCAAATAAATCCAGCTTTTCCCAAGAGGAAAAAGCATCTCTTCTACGCCAAATACACGTGCTTAACACCAGACTACTAGCTAATACGGGATCAGACACACAGCGCTGTGCATGTATACACTTGCCGCAAATATTTCTGTGATAAAAGGCCCAGTGAACTCACTTCATTCCTGCAGACAGCCTCGATTCTGATGCGTTGGCACTTCTCAGTGCACAAGGGATTAATCAGACCTTTCCTGACCAGTTCTGCAGCTGTGCCGAGCGCTCCTCACCCCGGGGAAACAGGTTAGCCGAGCAGCGAAAGCCACCCAACGCTTCCACGGGAAAAAATCACAACTTCTCACAAGAAAGGCAGCAAACACAGTGCTGGCACCTCTGCGCCTGTGTGTGATCTGTGTGCGGGTGAGCTGCAGTCAGCGGGAAGCCTTCGCAGAGCACCCGGAGAGATCGGCGCAAGTACCTCGCGCCCGCAGCACGCAGCAGCGAGGCCTCCACTCAACACCTCTCGCAGGGGGAAGCCAAACAGCTCAGTAGCCCCAGGCGGCCCAAGCTTGGCTTCCCCTCGCGGGGCCCGTTTCCCCCCCCCCAGCCAAAAGGCTTTGCCGGAGAAACGCAAGGAAGCCTCAAGCCCCCAGAGCAGGGTGACGGCTGTAGCTCGGTGTGAGGGATGGTGCCAGTGGGGGTTGCCGCTTATAGGAAGGTGTGACCACAGAGGGGTATCACCGAGTGCGAGGGGAACGTGTGACCGGAGAAGGGTACAACCGAGTGCGAGGGGAAGGTGTGACAGGAGAGGGGTACAACCAAGTGTAAGGGGAAGGTGTGACAGGAGAGGGATATTAACCGAGTGTGGGGGGAAGGTGTGACCAGAGAGGGGTATCACCGAGTGTGGGGGGAAGGTGTGACCGGAGAGGGGTATCACCGAGTGCGAGGCGGGGGCG